TGGAGAATGCTATTCCTTTGACAAAATTCAGCTGTGACTTTTCCAGTCATTTTCTGGATACAGAACAGGGAGTGGAAGACATTGCCTTTCCTCTCACATCAGGCTATAAAATGTTTTGGGCCAGCCTTGCTGGGAACAAACATAAAGCCAAAGATGTGGTTCCATAATCTTGATATTTCACAATATACCAACTTCAGCAGGAAAGATGTCATTACTTTTTGTTACAAGGATATATGTATGGGGTAGAGCACTATTGGAGCCGGTTTAGGGCTAGTTACTTTTTTGGGACTGGGGAACTGTGGAAGTAATAATCCTAAAAAGTAATCATTTTCAGGGGTACCCATCATGGCCATATAGCAAAGTACAATAGCATCCAAAATTCACAAAGACTGATACTTTTATTCAGGCAACCAAAATGCACAAAATACACGATGCAAGTTTTCGAAGCTCTGTGGCTCCTTCCCAGTGCCACATGGCCAGAAGGAGAAGGGCCCCACTTATGTAGATATCCCTTTAAAGAACAAGACACCACCAACACCTCGAGAAAGTGCAAGCCTGTGACTAACATCATTTTATAATTTTTTTTCTCCTATATGATTCTTAACATCTTTGCCTGATGAAGAAGCCGGTGGACCTCAAAAGCTTGCATCATATATTTTGTGCATTTTGGTTGGCTGAATAAAGGTATCACTGTTTTGTGGATTTTGGATGTTATTGTACTTTCCTAAAAAATAATATCTCCATGCTCTGGAAGCAGCACTAAGAGACGCAACCACTGTCCCCATGCAAACCAAACAATATGTGAAATGGCTTTTATTTGGCTGGTTGACATGGAAACAACAGCATTGCCCTCTGGGTTTGCTGTTCCTTGCAGCTGTTTTTTCTTTTCTTTTTCATCTTGTTCTAAGTCTAGCTGCTGTTTACATGAGCACAAAAGCAATGAGCCAATTGAAAGCAAATCAATGGCATTTCCAGTGTAGCCTGTTGTATGGCATTCTTTCTGTTAAGTTGGGGAGAAAAAGAATATAAAGAAACAACTGGGTATTTGCAGCTAAAAAATCTGTATCCTATCTATATATAGATATTTGCAAGCCTATCTAATCAGCATGGAGAGCAAACAACCATACATGGAAGTAAAGCCCAATCTGAGCTGGCATGCTAAGGAATAAGCCCTGACTACAAGAGGGTTGTAACTTCTGCCTCTGGTTAAAAACCTGAGATCAATTTATTAAAGTGAGGCTTTAAAAGATTATATTCACATGGAATGGCTTTCTGCTGAATGAAACTTTCTGCCCTTTTTGTTCATGATCTAGTTGTAAATCATTACATACTGTCATGCAGATCTGCCAACAACATACAATCTAAAGCCTAGGTACCCCTACAAACCTGTTCCAGGTAAAGGTTGCACTGCCATGGTGACAGTATGACTTGGAGGGCTGTGACAGTGAAAGTGATCAGATGATAAATTTTGGCACATAGGAACTCACTGTGATAGTCCCCATAACCGCATACCCCAAGGAGGGTCCAAAATTACAAGTCACTGCTCATATCCACAAGTCAGTTTTTGTATCTCCAGGACCATCTGAACTTTTGTTAACTTGGTAGTTGTTGTGTCCTTTCAAGTAATTTCTGACTTGTGTGTGTGTTAACTGCCTTTGAGTCATGGCAACCCGGTGAATGAGAGAAACCCTATCTTGAACTGCTCTGCTGAGGTCCTGCAGGCTCAGGGCTGGTTGAGTCCACTCATCTGGTATACGGTCTTCCTCTTCCCTCTACCTTCTCTAGCATTATTGCCTTTTCTGTGAGTCATGTCTTCTCATGATATGGCCAAAGTACAGCAGTCTCAGTTTAGTTGGCTTCTAAGGAGAGTTCAGGCTTGATTTGTTCTAGGATCCATTTGTTTGTCTTTTTAATAGTCCACGGTATCTGCAGAACTCTTCTCCAACACTTATCAGCTTTCTTCACTGTCCAGCTCTCACATCCAACATAGTGATGGGGAATGCAATGGCATAGATCAGAGGTAGGCAACCTTTTTGAGCTGGGGGCTGGGTTGCTGTCCCTCAGACAATTGGGGGGGGGGCGAAGCACCATAAATAAATAAATAAATAAATTTTTTAAATTAAAAAATATGTATGCACACTCTCTCAGCCCCAGAAAAGCCATGGTAAAACCCCTGTGGAGATTTTGCGAAGAAAACCCCAAGAACAAGTAACAACAATAATCAATATCATCATGGCGGGGGGGCGGCGGGGGGGAAGGACTGGCCTGGGGCCGGTCCAAAGGCCTCCGGGAGCTGCATCCAGCCCCCGGACCTTAGGTTGCTTACCCCTGGCATAGATAATCCTAACTTTAGTATTAAGTGAAATATCAGCACTTCAAGATCGTTTCTTATTCTGTCATAACTGCGTTTCCAAGTCTTAGTCTTCTTCCGATTTGTTGGCTGCATTCTCCATTAATAATAATAATAATAATAATAATTTTTATTTATAGCCCGCCCCTCTGCCCAAACAATTGAGGCGGGTTACAGCATTAAAAAGACAACATTAAAAACATCTCCCAATCCCCAAGTCCCAACCTCCCAGCCCCTAAAACCAGATTAAACAAGAGTTAAAATGCATAAGTGATAAAAGGCTATCAGGTCATGAAACCAAAACAAATGAACACACGCGATGGGGAAGAAAATTAACTGAAAAGTTCATCTCCCGGGGCAGATATGTTACGGAGATATTATTCCGGGAAGGCCTGCCGAAAGAGATCCGTCTTCACTGCCTTCTTAAAGTGAGGTAATAAGACGGATCTCGTCCGGCAGGCCATTCCATAGCCTGGGGGCAGTTGCGGAGAAGGTCCTCTGGGAAGTCTGGGACAGCCTAGTTTTTATTGGCTGTAACAGATTCTTCCCAGAGGATTCTTCCCAGAGGACCGAAGGGCACCGGGGGGGGGGGGGGTCAGTCATTCCCATTAATGACTGCACCAGAGAATAGGAAATGCTTTAACTATTTCCATTTCTTCATCATCTACCTACATTAAAGTTATGTAAATTATTCATGATTATTCTTTTTGTTCTGCATTAAACCTGCCTTAGCACTTTCCTCCTTAACTTTTCTTCAGTAATTATTCCAAGTCTTTTGTTATTTTCCACTAGTAGTATGGTGTCATTTGCATATCTTAAATTGTTGTTATTCTCTCTTTTCACAGCTCCTTCTTCCCCATTTAATCTTGCTTTGTATATGATGTTTGCAGCATACAGGTTGAAGAGATATGGTACTAGAATGCAGACTTACCTGACCCCTTTTCGGATTGGAAACCATTATGTTTCTCTGTATTCTATTCTAACAGTAGTCTCTTGTCCTGTGTATAGGTTAACCCGCTGTATTCATGGATTCTTTACCCACGGATTCAACCATTCATGGCTTGAAAATATTTTTAAAAATATACATTCCAAAAAGCAAACCTTGATTTTGCCATTTTATACAAGGGGCACCATTTTATTTCCCCATTGTATATAATGGAACTTAAGCACCAATGGATTTTGGTGTCCACAGGGGGTCCTGAAACCAACCTCAGTGGATACCAAAGGCCCATTGTGTGTGTGTGTGTGTGTGTGTGTGTGTGTG